AGCTTAGTTTACTCAATAGAAGAACCTTAGACGAACAAACCTGAACAACTTATTTGACAAATTCTCTTACACTTCAAAATGTCCCAGAAGTAAAGAGAGTCATCACTATAGCCAACTGCAAGATCATAATCTTCCCGTTCCTATGATAAAAGAAGCAGAAAACGTACCCATAGTTCAAGTGTGTAAGAAAGTCGAAAGATATGCACTTGTAAAAATTTATCGTTGTAAAGATGGAATATTATGAATTTTGAATAAATAAAGTGCAAACCTCCCATGTTGAGGAGATAGAGATATGAAGAAACACATACCTCTTTTTCTCTAAATACGTTTATCCTTGCTGTGTTGCTACTGTAAACCACCAAATCCCATCCATGAGACGGAATAAATATTTTAGTACTCCCTCCGTCCCAATTTATATCGCCCGTTTTGACTTTTGGGCATATTTAAGGAAAATAAAAAATAGAGTTGATTTTTCAAAATTGACATTATTTTTTAAAAGGGGTAATGATGAATGAGAAGATAATGTGAAAAAGAATGACTTATTTTAATGGTAGTTTAGGTATTTTATTTTTAATAGTTTACAAAAACAACTAACATGCAATTTATTTTGGGACGGAGAAAAAAGGCAAACAGGCAATTTAAAATGGGACGGAGGGAGTAAATAACAGAATCTACGTAATTGATTCCAAAAAGTCCAAAAAGGATTTAAAAAAGAAATATATGAAGCATTCAGTCTCTAATAAAAACATTGAAACCCATTAAAAATATATTTATGGAGGCAATAGAGAAGCAACAGAATGCTTACAAACAAACAACCTTTGAGAATTAAATCCTCTTATTTTCTTGCCATCCCACAATAATAAACCAAACAACCTTTGAGAATTCCACATTAAGGGGTCTGGGGCAGGAGAGCTGCAGACCTAGACTCTAGCCCAAAAAAATTACTCCGTATATTTTTTCAAAGCAATACCAATTTCTTATTTCAATAGAATTTGAGGTTTGGATATTCAATTAAACTCTGCCTCCTTTGTAGCATATTTTCAACTTGAGATGCTTCTAGTATAATGCAAACACCAATACTCTAATTCTCCACAAAGTTAAAAACCCTTATATCAGCAAAGAGTTAAAACCCCTTATATAAAAAAAACTACTATTGGTACTATTTGTTATGATGACATGATGCATTATAATTATGAAGTTCTCATAAAAACACTTCGTATGACTTTAGTAACCATAGTATGAATTTGGGAGCATGAACTGAAATGAAACCTTTATAAATGTTTGAATATTACCTAGCCCATCATATATTAATTGGTAAATGTGAGGCTAATGACCTACCGTCAATGTCCAAAACCCAGAGTCGTATGCACCCTCAATCACCTTCAGCACCTATTTGTTTAGATCTCTGGTTTCCATTGTGCGATTGTTCAATTCCTTGTTCCGGATTTAATTGGAGAAGGGAATCGATTCTTTATCCTTGTTAAAGAAGCCTGCAATGAACAGTGATGGTAAGCTTAGTTCACTACCCCCATCGGTAATCCTCCCTAGCAACCACCATTACCTATACTTGTCTGTTCTAGATTCTAGGAAGCTTCTCAGATTGTGAAGGAGAGCTTCAAAGTGTCTGTAATCTGAAATTCAAAGGGAAGAAAGAGAGATGAGAGATAGGTAAATTGTTTATTCCTTCATTGAGCTTAAAAGTGCAGAGAAGGGATATATTTATAACGATCGAACACCATCTAGAAATTATTACAACAAACTTAACAAACTCTTTACCACTTTGTAACTAACTCTCAATTACACTATAACATTGTCCGATTCATCATCTCTACTTCTTCAAATCATTTCCTTTGTCTTTAATTCCCTGTTCTTTGCCAAACTGCTTCAATTGTAGCTTTAGCATAAGAGAAATTAGATTGCCAACTTATTGATTTTGCAGTAATAATATTATTCTTGTAGTAGTTTTCAACTGTTGACGGCAAGAATGGCGGCCCATAAACTTAAAACTGAAATGTTATAACAATTCTAAGACTTATGTATTGTAATATTCTCAAACTTTAGGCATCTATAATATTCAAAAATCAGAGGTATACATTGAATGTAAGATATATTTGCACCTAAAATCTGCACTTCAACTCGAATCCCTGCCCTATGCTGCGTGATAGTCAGGAGTTGTTCCATGAATATAATAATCGTCACATGTGTTGGAGTCGAAACCCTAGCCCCGCACAACCAATTCTAAGACTTTGGCCTCTGTGCTCGGTTTTTGATATTTGGTTGGACTAGGGTGTTAACCTCTTCAAACTCTGGTGTTGGTTCGGGTATGCCCGTTTTATTCTTGTATTCTTTTCAGTTAGGTTTCAATAATATTTATGTGTTACCCAATAAAAAGAGTATTCGAATACTAGATGAATACTTGTGCATTTTGCTGGATCGTTGCAACAAATTCGTCAGATCAGATTTCTTCTATAAGAGCATCTCCAATCATCCTACTTTAACTTGCTAAAAGGCATAATATAACAAGTCTACCTATTTTTTTCTTCTCCAATGAGTCTTTTTAATTTTAGCAAGCTTGCCAAAAAATGACTTTGGCTTGTCAAATATAACAAGCTCTTTAAATTATAGGAAGCCAAGAGTTATAGAATGGATTAGCAAGCCATGTTTGGAGAATGCAACAAAATATCACTTGCTAGGTCATTATTCACTTGTTAAAATATAAAAATAGCAAGTCAATATACTATACAAGGTTGGAGATGCTCTAAATATAGAGGCACTATTGTATGGAACAATTCATACTCCTTCCATATACTTTACATCTTATCCTATCAATGAATTTTGAGATATCATTGAAATACTTTAATTGAAAAGTGTTGTCACGATTCGTAAATCACTTCCGCTATATTCATGCATGTATTGTGTACTCCAAGTGTATATATAAAATGTGTATTCCGGGTATTCTGTAATTACTAAATATATTCCCTCCGTCCCAATTTATAATGCCTGTTTCGGTTTACGATGTTTGACTGAAATTATTTTTAAACCATTTTATATGACAAATGGTATAGAATTAAAAAATAAAAATTACATATTAAAAAACTACATCAAAAGATCTACAAAACTAGTAGTGACAATAATATTTTATTTTATCAAATTGCTAACGAAAATAGAGAAAGAAAGTGAATGAAGTCTGACCATGTGAATAGTAAACAGGCATTATAATTTGGGACGGAGGGAGTATATATATAATTATACCGCATATAAAATAAATATTGTATATCTAGATATAGGGGTATAATATACTCTCTTTCTCCCAGATTAAATTAATTCCTCCGTCCCAAATTATAATGCGTGTTTACTATTCACAGGGTCAAACTTCATTACTTTCTTTTCTCTATTTTTGTTAGCAATTTGATAAAATAAAATATTATTGTTACTACTAGTTTTGTAGATCTTTTGATGTAGTTTTTTAATATGTAATTTTTATTTTTCAATTCTATACCATTTGTCATATAAAATTGTTTGAAAATAATTTCAGTCAAACATTGTAAACCGAAATATGCGTTATAAAATGGGACGGATGTAGTACATGTTTAATGTTCATAGGGTCAAACTTCATTCACTTTCTTTTCCTATCCTCGCTAGTCATTTGGTAAAATAATAGTCATGTCACCACTAGTTTTGTATATCTTTTGATCTAGTTCTTAAATATGTAACTTTTATTTTTAACTCTATGCCATTTGCGTATAAAATGATTTTAAAATAATTCCAGTCAAACATCGAAATAGACAATTTAAATTGAGACGGATAGAGTAATTAACTCACCCCAGACACAAAAATAATGTTTGATGGTGTAAATTAACCACCCGCGCAAACTACTCCAAACCAAGTCTAGGGTGGTTTGTTGAGTTGTGATACTAAGAACACACTAAAACTCGAGTTTGATCCGGAGGACTGTAGGTGAGAACACCCGTTGTCCGTTTGTTATAAGAGTATGGGAATGTTACAGGGAGGTTTTGCACAATATACTTTAGAGAGAAAATTTGGATCTCCTTCATCAAGGGTTACAAGGCCTATTTATAGTAAAGCTAGGTTACAGACTCGCATGTGCCCATGCCTGGCCACGTGCCTGTCATGTGACAGAGTACATTATGTGATGCCACTTTGTGTTTTAGTGCTTGTCCCTTCTTCCTTGGACTTTTCCCTCTGTACATGTCTCTATTCGCATGTAGTGCTTGGATGATATGCCTAGGAAAGCCTGTTGTTACAAGGAAATCTGGTCCAACCTAGTCCCCTCTAAGACACTTTCGTCCAAACAGGCTGGGGAGCTATCATGTCTGTGCAAGTCATGGAAATCCAACTAGGTGATTGCGCTGAGAGATATCTTGATGATCATTTAAGACTCCCTTCTGTAATGTCGTTTGAACGGACTCCACCGGAGAAATGTTCAAATTCACCCAGACAGCCCAGTTGCATACGACTTGATACCTACCCGGTTGGCACCGGTTAAACCCGACTCAGGTTGTGGTCTGGGTGGAATACACCCATCAATTAGTCCTCCACTTCTCGACTTGTAGGAAATATCAAGGGCGGGAAGTAATTCTCAAATCACAGTATTTTTGCAAATATTTGAACCTGAAAACCTTTGCCGCCCAAAATATCAAATTTTAAAATTTGAAACTCAGCGACCACATGCAGCTGTCTCGTCATTTGGACTTCCCCGGGTGCCAATATGACTTGTCAGGCAATCATTTGCCCTATGCCACGTGTCGGCCCGCGGTTTGTTGAAACGAGTGGCCTAGCGCGGGGACCAATGCCAAACCTTTTATTTAGAGGCTCTTCCCTTCTGATTTCTTTCACTTTTCTGCATTTTGCCCTCAAAGCTCCACCGAGTAGATCTTTGCACCTTGAGTCCTGAGTTTCTCTCTACAGGCCAAGTCTTCCGAGCCTCTTCATCTTCTCTCATTTTCCATTTCCGGTCATGTATTCTTGCGTTAGTCAAAACTCTTTCATTCATTCATATGGGACGGGGGGTCAGTTCCCCTGTCATCCTCTTCTTTGTCATCCTCATCCTCCTCGCCTTCTCGGTCAACTTGTGGCCCGAACACCATGGCGTTACCCAATCCCAAACCTCTAGACCAGGCGCCCAGTCAATTTGACCCTAGAAATGCGACCCAAGAGGAATGGGAGCACAGACGATGAGAAGTCAGTTACTTCCCTCTCCCCACCGACTTGGTGAGGGAGATTCGCCTGTAATTTCCAAGATATCCCTCAACAAAGTCCGTAGCCTTCTCCCTGAAGGCTACATCCTTCATTATAATCCCGGGTGGCCCAACACAGTGGTGGCTCATGATGTAACCCTGTTGGGTTTTCATGTCAGGCCGTTAGAACTTAGGAGGGGGAATAATGTTTTCGCTGCGTCCCCTTCTCGTTGAGGTATGCCAAGCTTTTTCCATCCTCCCCGGTTAGCTTACTTCGAATGCACACCGGCTTCTCAACTGTTTTGTCAACATTTGTCGGTTCCTTAGCCTAGATCCCTCCCTGAGGTTGTTTGTGTACATGCTTGAGATTCTACCCCAGAGAACCGCATACGAGGGCTTTCTCTACCTGTAATCCTGTCAGGGTAGGACTTTTGTTCTTGATCTGCCCCTAGTAATAAGAAGTGGAAATTATCATCATGTTCGTCGACTTCTCGGTGAGAGAAAATCCCTTAGCCAGTCTCCGGTGGAACGACCATTTACTCAATCATGAGTACGCTCTTCGGGCTGCATCCTCGGACTTAAAGGAAGCTACCAAGAAACTTTTGGAGGGGGATCTAGATACCGGGGAGCTATTTCATTTCGAGAGTTGGGTTAGGCGTTGCTTCAACCGGGGGAAAGAGGACGTCTCGGGAGCTCGTGACGCAGAGGGGCACGAGGTACCTCCCACGGACAACAATGTTGTGGCCGGGTGTTCCTTTAGCCCAAGTTTGTTTTTTAGTAATCGTTCTTTCAGTACGTTTATGTTCTTTATCGGGTTGACTAGTTGAATTCTCTACATGCATGGAGTTCGATGCGTACGACATGCTGTCAAAGAAGAACACAAGTCAGGCCTGCCATTCAAGTTCGCATCTCGTCCCCCCACATTCCCGAGAGGAGCATGCGGCCACACCCACCCAGGCAACCCCCCTTCACCAGGAGAAAATTCGAGTCCTTTCAAAGGATCAAGAGAGGTAGACTTCCCGGGAGGTAAAGCAGGCAAAAGGAACATCCAAATCCAAGGACCAGGGAGATAAGAGGTCGGGAGGCGCCCACCATGGTGAGTTCAAAAAGACCCGAAGGAACCCTCAGTTGATGTTTTTCCTTCTAGGGGAGCTCTAGTTCGAGATGAGGCTGCGTCTTCGCGAGGTAAAGGTTATCCATATCACTAAACATCTTGGCCATTTAGTTTTTAAGAAAGCTTTAACCCTTTACTTCGTGCAGGCTGGCTAGATAGGTTAGGAGATGCGGGACCGCGTCCTCGAAGGCCGGGATCATGCAATTGCTTGGCTCGAGGGCATGCTACAAGTGGCCAAAGACGAGGTGAGGGAGAAACTTATAAAGAACAAGGAAATGTTGTTTGTCTTTGCCAACCAAACAAATGAGATGGCGAAGTTGTCCAACCTGGCCAGGGACGCGGAGGCTGAGAAGAAGAAGCTACAAGAAGAGAACACCTGATTAAAGGAAGAGAATATCTGGGTGATGGAGGAGAACTCCCAGCTGAGGGCGTCCCTCGAGCGGAAGGAAGCAAATCTCCGGTTGAGGCCATGGCTTGGGCGAGGGACCACCAATCTGACATTGCTTGGGAGCTCCTCCCTTCTTCGGAAACAACCATGGTGTTCTTTAAGCTTTTCTTCCAGGAGCCGGAAGGGAGGAAGATGATTACTGCTATCCGTTCCTACGGCTTCAAAGTAGGGAAGAAGAGGGAAAGGGTTGCAACCACGAGGGCTTGGCCTTCCGTGACACTGCGTTTAACCCTGAAACCTACGAGCTTCCTCTCGTGCGAGAAGACGAGCCGACTCCTCTCTTTCCCTTGTCTTAGGGTTAATTGCCTTTCGTAGCAAATTTTATATTTTGCCTGGGTATGCCCCGGTTTAAAACTTGTATTAGCAGCCTTCGGGCTTAGTATTCAAACTTTATGCTTTTGACCGGTTACTTTTGTGTATTTTATTATTCATCCTAAACTTTTACCCCGAATGCTTTCTTCTTGTTACTTTCTCAACAGTTTTCTGATTGTCGATTTCGAGTTGGGTGTCAACCTTTAATGTCGGACTTGCCTGGTCAACCTTTAATGAGATAGGGTAGCCGAATCGTACGTGTTTTGCTTGAACATTTTTGACTCGGGTATAATATTTGCCAAGATTAACCCTCTTGTTAGTTTTTTTACGGTTAGGTTGTAGGTAGGAACACCATTAACCTTGTAGTTATAAGGAATGTTTCTGGCCTGACCAGGTTAACATTAGAGAATCTGACCATGTAGGATGGTTTCGAGCCCTCTCTAACGCTCAATTGCACCCTTCTTACAGGCCCCCCTCTTCCGTGTGATCAAGTCCCTTCTTCTGTGTGATTAAGTCCTTTATGGCCCTGATGGATACCCTAAACTGGGGGTATCCATCCCAACAAAATAAGCGGCCCAACAAAGCCCATCTAATCGCAGGAATAGGACGCGCTCGACCAAAGACGCCCTGCCTGTCCGAGTGGGACTTAGAGGAAACCTACCCCTCAAGATGGCAACTGTACTCGGACATGCGCTCCTACTCACCCCGGTTACACTCACTCAGACCCTGGGGCGGACTCGATCAGATCTTTACTTAGCCGACTTCCAAGAGCAGAGCTTGTGCACTCGGCTTTTGTACTCGGCCTCTACGGCCAGTGAAGCACTGTGAACCGATTACGGGCGTGGGAGCCTGGATGCCACGTCTAATCAAACGGGCCCACACTGATACGTCTCTAATACGATTGTTTGTATGTTAGTTGTAACCATCCTATTTGTAGCCACCGTATTTGTAATCATATTTCTTGGATTGTCATTCGAAAGGCATGCTTCAAGTTATGTCACTGCTTCTGGCTATGTCCTAGACAAACGACTAGGAATCACACACATGGGAAAATTTCTTGTATAAATACCCCTCCCTTGAAGGAGGGAAGGCACATTCACATTTTATTACCAAGCAAATATATTACTCTTGTAACTAAAAGGCACCCCGCCCTTGTTCGATACTCTTCTACCTAGTCTATTAGGTCCCGGGTTCTAAAACCCATCATTGGTGCTCTCGTTGAGAGTTTCGAACACATCAAGCGTGCTCTTTCGAAAATGGTTTGTTGAAGAAGAGTCACCAGGTCATCCGCTGCCACCAACCGTGGTGGCATTAAAATGACTGTGATAGCACTCACTAACATGTGCCAAGATGACTTGGACATCAGCTTGAACGATGTCACTAGCTAACACACCGTTGATCTTCAACAACCCATTCAGCAAATACCGGCCTTAGGAGCCTCGGGGAATGATCCGCGGCAGGCGGATGTTGCTGCCCGGAAATTTCAACTCACCGCTCTTTTAGTTCGGTGAGACGTTCGGTGTCAGAACCCCCTCCATGGATTGTAATAATTTATAGGCTATGATGAGGGCCATGATGATGAACAAGTCTATGGGGGGTTTCTAGGAACCGATTTCCATGCATAAACCAACGTTCTTGCATGAGGAACGTTAGGAGGATCTACAGCACATGGCGGAAAACGTGGAGTTTTTAGCCCACCATCTAAAGGGACTGATGGCAAATTCTTACATGGGCCCATGGGCGGACGGACGCATGGATAAGGAAGCATGCCGCTCCCAGCAGATTGGAAACGGTAAAGCCCTGGAGGAGCCGGTGGCAAGGAAGCAAACGAGCCACAAGGACATGGACGAGGCAGGAAGGCGCCACGAACCCCCAAAGGAAGGGCAGGAAGAGAGTGAATCGCATGTGTCCGTGCTCAGCCGTATGCGTGTGCCCGCCAAAGATTGGTTGCATGGTCGAAGGAACACCATCGCCCGTGACTGGGAAGGCAAGGTAAGGATGCCATATGAGGAACAGTACGGACGTCACCGGGACGCACAGCCTGAAAGGTGTATCCCTCAAGCTGAACAACCTATCCACGATCTTCTCTTCAAGCTACCGCATGGGGCACCTGAAAGGGCAGATGGGGATGGGGGGACGCCCTGAGGGACGAATGGATCAAATTCCTCTTACAAAGGATAGACACACTTGAGAAAAGGAACGAGCGTGGATACGCCCATCACCGGTTGGACTCGATCCGAGTCGAGATCTGGGTGGAATACACCCATCAATACTACTCCATATAGGTGCTGCTTAAAATTCAGATTTAAAAAAAAAACGAAAACAATGAACTATGAAGATAAGTGGAGTTTGCACCATGAAAGGTTTAAGTTCAGTAGTCGTGCATGTTGACAAAGCCCAAATTGCATCACTAAAAAGATACTCCTAAAAAATATGTACCACATATATCTAACCTGGTGAGGATTCCGTATATACTTTAACTTCCGTACCATTTAAAGTGACATATCCACTTTTTTTTTATATTTACATATCCACTTTAATATAATCAGAGTTCATATATTGTACATTTAGATGTATAATGTGTTTTGTACATTCATGTTAACACTCAATTTTGAGTAAAAGATAACAACAATAACAACAATCTAGTTGAATCCTCTAAGAGTAGGATCTAAGGAGAGTGTGTGTACGCGGACTTTACCTATACTAAAAAGCAGAGAGACTGTTTCTAAAAAGACCTCGGCTCAGCGTTGAAAATTGCACTGATTGGCTAACTGTTGCTTCAATAATTTAAGAAGCGCATACAGTTTAAATATTCATTTTACTTTATTCCATCACACCCCAAAACCTAAAATAGTACGGAGTAATTTTTTTGCTTCATCGGAGATGATGGAAAATCAATTTTGAGTAATAGAATATTCATATATTTTACTTATTTATTTATTTATTTTACTCTGTAGTATTATAAGTATATGTAAGTTCCGTTGAGAACAACATAATAGTCATTACATTTACATAGGATTATACTTCGTATTAAAGAGTAAAACTACTAATAATTTCATACATTTACATATGAATATTCAACGTGCATACACAAAAAAGTATTTTATTCCATCCGTCCCGAAAAATATGGGAGTTTTGGTTTTGGAGAGGGATTTAAGGGTAGTGTATTTTGGTATTGATTTTTCAAAAATGTCCTTTGATATGATGTGATGGGTAAAAGTATGATTTGATGGATAGATTATTAGTAAAAAGGTATGAAATGATAGGTAGGGTATGAAAAAGTAAGGGGTAAAAGTGACTTTTTATTAGAAATGAGAAGTGTTTTTTTGGGACGGATGAAAAAAGAAAGGAGAAAGGTTTTCTGGGACGGAGGGAGTATATTTCAAAGATAAGTGTTCTCTGCAGATATATAGGAAATACCATATAACCGGTGCCTCGTAGCATAGTGATTACACCATTACTCCCAAAATTGATCACTTTTTACAAAAACACTCCACCCACCACCTTACTTACACAATAAAATTGTGTATCATGCATCCACATGGATTTTTATAGTGATGATTTGAAAAAAATTACTCCACTTCTTTTGGTTTTCATAAGAAACATAGATTACCTTTTCCTCCTCCAACTCAAATACCAATCACGACCCTCACAATTAAGGCATGCCATTTTCGGTTAGAATTCTAAAGTTGAATGTTGGAAGGAACCATAACGTGTTAAAAAAATTGAAAGTGAGTTTAAGTGCGAGTTTGTAAAAGCGTTAAAATTTCTTGAGGTGTTGACATGCTCTAGATCACATAGAATAAAAGTGATTTGAGTGCGAGTTTGTAAAAGAGTTAATTTTTTTTAATTTTGAAATTATGAGTGTTGGGGTGTAAAATATAATCCTTAAAAAGAAGAGGGACATGTATAATGTAACGGAGGATAAAATTAGTCATTTCATTGAGATATGAACACGTCAAGTTGGATAATGATCAGTTTGGGATTATTGAGTTGAAAGTAGATTGTTCATTGTTTGTTTTAATAAAGTGATTTGTTCTGCCAATCAATTCAAAAACAAAAGGTACGACGGCTTAGGTCTACTACTGAGCAGAATAGAATAAGCAACATGATGTTGGGTACGTAGTGCACAACAAGTTGTAAGTCATCATATATATATATATATATATATATATATATATATATATATATATATATATATATATATATATATATATATATATATATATATATATATATAGGATTAACTCCAGTGAGATGACACCTTATAGTAAGATGACATGCTTCAATCAGATGACACAACACACAACACTGCCAATGGAAAGCTCACTAACTGCCAATGCAAAACTCACCAACTGCCAATGCAAAGCTCACCAACTGCCAATGCAAAGCTCACCAACTGTCAATGCAAAGCTCACCACTTTTTTTAAATAAAAAAAGTTAAAAAAAATAGCACCACCACTCAACCACCAGTCAATCACCGCTCAACCACCGGTCCACGACAACAGTGGGGGTCATCGGTGGTAGCCATTGGTCATGGGCGGTTAACGGGTAAAGTTCACCAACTGTCAATGCAAAGCTCACCAACTGTCAATGGAAAGCTCACCAAGGAACAATGCAAAGCTCACCATTTTTTTATATAAAAAAACTAATAAAATTGCACAACCGGTCAACCACCGGTCCACGGCGGTAGTTTGCAGCGGTTGGAAGTCAGCACCACTGCCCTTTGTTTGTTTTTGAAGTCATTTTAAACTTTAAAGTGTGGTGAGCTTTGTGCACATATTCGGTGAGCTTTGCAATGAGAGTCAGTGAGCTTTGTTGCTGGGCTTTGTAAGCATTTAACCATCAAATTTTGAAAAAATAGTAAATTGTTGGAAAATCATGGTGAGCTTTGCAGTGGACAGTTGTGAGTTTTGCAGTGATCAGTAGTGAGCTTTGCAGTGATCAATGGTGAGCTCTAACGTCATCTGACTGAAACATGTCATCTTACTACAAAGTGTCATCTCACCGGAGTTAATCCATATATATATGTGTGTGTATACATATATAGTGCAACATTAAATAATCTATCTGACCTTCTACTATACTATAGTGGATCTGATCACCACTCACCGAGGTGGAAGATTACTTATCATCTTATTATAGCTCTTTTCCACTTATCAAAAATGCACGAACAAAAGTCAATAAATTTTTTCTTTTTTTTTAAGAAAAACTAAAGTCAATATTATCATATACTCAATCCGTCCCAAAATATAAGCAACAAGTAGTTATTATTTCGACTTCTCGATAACTTTTGTTTGTTTACTTGTTTTGATTGACCATTTGATGATAAAATAAAATATTCTTATCGTATCTTGTTTTATAGAACTTTTGGTCTATTTTTGAACAGTGTAATTTTTTTCACTTTTTATTTTTCAATCAATTTTTAAGTAAAATAATTTTTAAAAAAATTATATTTTGTGCGTCATTCATGTTGCTTACATTTTTAGAATGAAGGTGGTATATACACTCCATCCATAAGTCCGTATTGTATATGATCAAGCATCTTTATAAAGGCGATAGAATATTCTCAGAAATGCACGTCACCAAGCATGAAAAAAGAGGAACAGTGAAGCAAATTTAATATTTTTATGTGATGTGAAATTTGCACTGAATAGAACTAAAACATAAGTCATTTCCCAATGCATGACTTAAACTTTTTTATTTCCTAAATATGACTTAATAATGACAAGTGAGAAGAATAATGTTCAAGTGATGCTCGTCATTTAGTTGATTAATGACTAATAGATAATGACCAATAGTGCTACATTGGGAAATAAAAACACATGGTTCTACTTTGAGAAAGTCATTATGTTTTAGTCTTATTTAGATAAATTGTCCTTTTCTTAATATACTTCAAAGTCATTTTTTTAAACTTTTAACAATTTCGATATAAATTTAATATCAACAAGTTTATTTTGAAACATAATTTTAAAATACTCCTATTACATTACAAGCGTAATCACTTCGAGCCTTCCACACGAAATTTTAAAGTTTTTATAAACTGAAAGGCAATAAAACTAAGAGGCAGTAAATTACGGAGTATTGTTTATACTCCGTAAGGAACAATACATAGCTTTAATTCTAAATGCGCCAACCGGCCACGTCGACCCACGTCGCCCGATTTGCCGTGCTTAATAGGTTAAGGTTGTTTTCCTCATTAACGGGTTATCATTTAACCATACTAGATTTGTGTTCGGGTCACGGTCCAATCGCTAAGTCGGTCTGGTCCCAATTTCATACCCCTACTCATGTGCAGGCCAATGCGGTTCGGAATTCATACACTTTTCGCTTGTCCCAATTTTTTTCTTCAAATTGGCCTAAATATTATGGCCGCCAAACCCTACTTGTTTCAAATATTGTCATTTTGGCTTAGTCATACTTATATAACTTGTAATTTCCTCCCAAAAGGCAAATTTGAAAACAATTTATGGGACGGAGGAAGTGTAATTTTTATTACACGATGTAGTTATTCATTATCAAAATGTTTACTCTACTCATTCTATTAAAAAGTCATGTTTACCCTCTCCACGTTCTATTAAAGAGTCATGTTTATCCTACTAATTCTTAATTTACCGATCACATCATATATTCACTATTAGTCTACATATCACATCTATTTTTAACCATCACATCTAACACTATGTTTGGTTCAAGGAATTTGGAAGGAAAAAGAAAAGAAAATGATATGAAAAACAGTTTTTCTTGTTTGGTTGGGGAGGAAAAGAAAAGTGGAAGTAAAAGAAAATGAGAAGACAATGCAAAGAGAAAGGAAAATCGGATTTCTCCCATTTTGGTGAGGAAAATGAGAGAAAATCTTTTTCTTTTCTTTTCCTTCCAAATTCCTTAAACCAAACATAGTGTAAAAGTATTTTTTTGAAAGTCAATGCCAAAGTACACTCGGCCAAGGGAGCATCTTAAAGTATTTAATTTGATTTTGACAGTCTTTTTTCACCTTATTCTCAACTTCTTGATCCATATGTAAAAATAAAGCGGACAAATTCATTAGAACAACAGAGTAATAAGTACAAAGTTACTAGCTCCCCACTAACCTTATGCATGTACATATGGTATAACACATGCTATAAATACTATCATGGAGCCTTCCACAAATGAAATAAGTAAATTCTCATCTATCTTCAATTCGTTCTATCAAATCACTTGAAGATAGCTAGCTTGGCTTATTATATATAGCTTTTTTCATTCTTCACTAAATATAATGGAGATTGAATCTTCCAAAACTGGGTTCAAGTACTCTTTGCCAAGGACAGTGAAGGACAAGGTGGTGGGCATTGCCAAGAATGCAACCAAGATTGGAAAAGATGACCCTAGGAAAGTTGTGCATTGTGCAAAGGTGGGATTAGCCCTCACACTCAACTCCTTGTTCTACTACTACAAACCCCTCTATGATGGGTTCGGACAGTCTGGAATCTGGGCTGTCTTAACCGTGGTTGTTGTCTTTGAGTTCACCGTCGGTGAGTACATGATGATTTTCATTTCACCCCCCACGCATTTTCCAACGCCAAATCTAATGTCGTGGTTGCATGCATGCATCTATGTTGTGTGTTGCATGCATGCATGCATCTATGAATAGGTGCATCTATGGATCTAATTAACTATTTCCTCTGTTTTTTAAAACATTTTTTCTTTTATTTATTTTGCTTTTCCAACATGAATAGGTGGAACGCTTTCGAAGAGCGTGAACCGGGGGTGTGCAACACTTTTAGCTGTTTCGTTGGGGACGGGAGTGGTGTATTTGGCTCAACTTTGTGGCCATGAAGGCCAGCCCTTCTTTCTTGGCATTGTGGTTTTCCTCTTTGGTACGTTACGGTTCAAGGTTTAAAAAAAATTACTCTTAGGCCCCGTTTGGTATACGGAATTCAAACTATGGAATTGGAATTGAGGACTTCAATTCCAATTCTGGTGTTTGGTAGCACACAAAAATTACGTGGATTTGGAATTGATAGTGCAAAAAATGAATTGGAATTAGCAGAATTCAATTCTATGGAATTGAATCTCATGAAATTTCAATTCCAATTCAATTCCAATTTCATCAATTCTGTATACCAAACGGACCCTTATTAATTACTTTTCTTTTGAAAAAAGTCAAACTGTAATTCCCTCCCTCTTTATACTCTATCTTTTACTATTGTTATTGATTCTAAAAAACAGAGTAACATCGTAGAACATATAATCAAAAAGTGAGAGGTAAGGTAAATATATAGGATAGAAGAAGGTGGGAAATAATCTTTTGAAAAGGGTTATTAAATTGTTTCTTCTTCTCCATAATAAATTTTCATAAATTTTTCTCAAGTTAAACCACACTTTTTATAAATTATTTGATAAAATAAATTTAGGAAGAATATAGATTGTGGTACCCTTTAAGGTTTAAACATTAAACTAATCAACTTACAACACTATGGGGCCCGCCAATAAAATCCAGCTTCGTTTCATGAGTAAACAAGTCAGCGCTAGCTAGCTCCTCACACTTGATGTGTTGTGGTCCAGTGGATGACAACTGGTCACCTTCAATCCTACGTGTATACAAGTCAACCCTCATTTTACAATATACATCTATTTATTTAATATTTCTTGATCAATATTTCTAAATTTTGATCTTGATGGTCACCTTCGATGCTATGTAAAGATATATACTCCCTCCGTTCCACAAAACCCTTCTGGTTTTGACTTTGGGGAAAAAAATAAGATGAGATAGTTCGGTTATTAGTGAAAAAGTATGATGTGATAGGTAGGGTATGAAAAAGTAGGGGTAAAAGTGGTTTTTTAATAGAAAGTGGAAGTGTTTTGTGGAAAGCAAAAAAACGAAAGAGGAAAGGTTTTGTGGAACAGAGGGAGTATATATTAATGGTGAAAACATTACGTACATTAGAGCAACTCCAATGGGAGGGGTATATGAAAGGGTAAAGAGAAATATTTGTTATATATACCTCTTTTCATTAAAAATTATTTTCCAATGTGAGAGGTAAACAAGAAGGTATTATACCTTCTTCAATTTTGAAGAGGTATTTTTACCTTCTTCATTTGGGGAGGTATATCAATTTTTCCCACCTTTTAAATTTATTTTTGCTTGAATGTATTATTATAAATTATTAATTTGTATATTTGTCATTGTAAAACTTAACGAGTCAAGAATTAACAAAAAAAGGATATTTTGTTTTTTAATCTTGCACTCTGTATTTTTAAGTTTTTTCTATTCGGGTATTTATAGTTTTACATGTGTAATTAGACATAATGTATATTTAACTATTTCAAAACTGCATTCTAATTTTTTTCCCAATAAATTAGTTATATTTTTATAAAATCTTTAAATTTAAAACTTTAATCAAGAAGAAACAAAGGCAACAAACCTCAAATTTACCTTCCTCCATTGGAGTTGCACACTTTTTGGAAAGGTAAACTTATCATTTGGAGAGGTAAATGAAATATATACCTCTCCAAGACACCTCTTACCATTGGAGTTGCTCTTAGATATTGTGAAAACTCAAATAAAAAATTATTTTTAGACGAAGAGAATATTTAATTGTGAAAACTACTCTATTTAGTTATATTGTAAATTTAATATAATTTGGTTAATCTCAGAATATTGTTTTGATATACACTCTCCGTCTTAAAATAAACTTTTCAGTTTAATTTTATGGTCAAGCTTTTTAAACATTGACCTCATATAACGAAAAAAATAAATTGAACTTATATATATATATATTTAATATCGAAAGATCATTTTGAAATATAGTTTGGAAATATTCAATTTTTATAATATATAGTAATATATAAACAAAGAGTCTAATCTTCAAAGTATTACATTAAAGAACGTGAGAAATTAAATGAAAAATTAATTTTAGTACATGCAATATGTCACTAATTTTGTGCTCCACGTACTACTTATGTATGTACAGCTGCACTGTCAACATTCACAAGATTTATCCCGGGAATAAAAAAGAAGTACGACTATGGCGTTGTCATATTCATCCTCACCTTCAGCATGATTACCGTCTCCGGCTACCGGGTGGAGGCGATAGTGGATATGGCTTATCAGCGGCTGGTCACGGTGGCCATCGGCGGCTCCACCTGCATTATCATTTCCCTTCTTATTTGCCCGGCGTGGGCCGGAGATGACCTCCGGGACCTCGTCGCCGGCAACATTGAGAAGCTGGCGGTGTCTTTGGAAGGATTTGGCAATGCACATTTTGGGTTGGGAGAATGTGATGAGGACAAAGGCGGCGGCAAGGCGGCGGCTGCGGCAGCGTTAGTTGTTGACTGTAAGAGTGTGCTTAGCTCCCAGGCCTCCGAGGAATCTTTGGTCAGTATGTAAATGGGATTAACACCCTTCACTAAGATCTTTTACCATACTCTCTATAGTTAAATTTATAACTGTTTCTAATGTGATGTACTACTTACCTTATTGAGTATTTGTCTAGTTTTGATTTTTTTCAGTCAACTCTTTTCAATCTTTGACCTATAATTGAATACGGAGTAAAATATTTATTATATATTGATTAAATAAAATAATATTTTGAAAATATTTGATATAACAAATCTAATAAAATTATTTTGTATCAATATATACTATCATTTTCATTTAATTTGAGATCAAAGTTTACCAATTTTGACCAAAAAAGTGAAAAGTTGACAAATGCTCATGGACAGGGGAGTAATTTTAATAAGAATGAGCAATGCAAATGGGTAGTAAAAAATCTAAGCCAAAATTTTCGAATGGGGCGAGTGTGTGAAGCCATATATAACGAGTAATCCAAAAAAATTTGTTCCATATAGAACTAAACGAAAGTAAGTTTTCCTGAATAGGACCAAGTATATTTATTCCTTATATGGCACAAAATTTGATATGAACGACCATATATGTCCTTATTAGCAACAAATGTTGGATAATAACTGATTATACAAATGACTCTACGAATGTGGTCATTAACAACAAGTGTTAGATATTACTTATTATTTCAATGATTATTCAAATTATTTTTAATAATTTCTTATTATTCTACTTAATTTATGTGATAAGTCATTTTTCTCGATCAAAGGGAGAACATTTTAGAATTTTCGATTATCAAACATTAGAAAAGTAATATATTTAAGTACCATTTAGGACTAATTTAATCCAAGTGCTTATATAATTGCACGTACATAATTTTTGAACTTGCAGGCAACATTTGCATGGTGGGAGATCCGTCATTGTGGCCTTACATTTAATCCTCCATTGAAGCAGTACTTGAAGGTGGGACTTCTTGCTAGGGAATGTGCTTCCCATATTCTCACACTCTCCATCATCTTCTCATCATTCTCTCACCCCCAGGTATGCTTTTTAATTACTCCTATATATTATTATCTTTAAATATTATCATTATATCCTTATTATTATTACTACTTCAACATTGTTTTTCTACTAGCTAGCTGAGTATTAACTAATAATTGAAAAATGAATGAATGCAGAAAGAAGAACAAAGAATAGAGATGGCGAGGAGAATCAAAGAGCCATGCATGCTCGTATGTTCCGAGTCAAGCAAGGCCCTCAGAGAGTTGTCATCAACAATCAAAACCATGACACATCCATCGCCCGCCATCGAAGCCCACCTCCACAACTCGAAATCCGCCGTGGATGATCTCATCGAGGCTGCGCTCCAAGCTTCCTCCTCCTCCTCCTCCTCCATGGGAACGAACCTCCTCCTTCTTCACATCGTCCCCGCTCTTACTGTCGCTTCTCTCCTCGCGGACCTCGGCGGTTGCATCCACAATCTTGCAAACTCCGTTGTCGAGCTCTCCGAGAAGGCACATTTCAAGAAACACTCGCTTCATCGTGGGACCGTGAATCCGGTCCAAGAAGACGAGACGATTGTTGTCGTGATCCAAGGCGGCGGCGCGTCGCCCTCTCAAGACTCGCCGGAGACTGAATCACCAAATGTTGAAAACTTGGATGTCCGATATGTGTAGGGAGAAATCTCCTAACAATTAATAACTAGCTAGCCATCAATCAAGCAAGTGGGTGCATGTATATAAATTCTTATTAGAGCAAGAAACTCTAGTAAAATCTTTTATTAAATCAAATATTGTTTGAATTGGGACTTAGGTGGGTCCCTCCGAGTAGAGGTCCCACATATAATAATTTCCCATCCTTAACAATTACGTTAAAAAAGTTAATTCCCCCCTTTATTAAAATATTTTCTCTTTATTTTTACTCCTTCCTTTTAAAAAAAGCCTTCCCACTTTGACTATAAGGCAGAATAAGGAAGTGTAAAATTATAGTTGACTTCCAATTTTGCCCCTGATGTGATGGATAAAAGTAATTTGTGATGTATTTATTATTAGAGAAAAAATATGATGTGATAGGTAGGGTATGAAAAAGTAAGGGTAAAAGTGGTTTTTTAATAGAGGGAAGTGTTTTGTTGGAAGTAAAAAAATGAAAGAGGAAGTGTTTTTGAGAACGGAGAGAGTATTATTTTTTCTAGAACACTTCCACTTTCTATTAAAAATCACTTTTGTTGAGAGAGTGCTCCCAAATTACTTGTATGTGTATATGTGTGTGTGTTTTAGAATTAGTTGAAAGCTCTAAACACTTTGTTAGGATATTGTTTTGCAATTTGTTCGTTCAAAACTGTACTTGAATTTTAGAAAAAGGATGGGCTCCATTTCTGAGTGTCGCTTATAAGATCTGGTCGCACGATCACTGAAATTAAGTTAATTAGACTTTGATAGCAGATTGATAACAAAGAGTAGAATCCGTTTCAAGTATAAATAGAGAGTTGTTATATATAGATGGAGCTAGCTTTATTTCATTGAGAAGTTTACCTAAATAGGACTAAAACATAATGACTTTTCCAATATAGGACCATATGTTTTTATTTCTCAATGTAGGACTTTTGGTCATTAACAAGTAGTCATTATTCAAGTAAATGTCCATCATTACTGGATATTATTCTTCACACTAGGACATTATTAAGTCCTATTTAGGGAATAAAAAAGTTTAAGTCCTACATTGGGAAAGTCATTATGTTTTAGTCCTATTTAGTGCAAATTTTACTATTTCATAATCAAACCACTTTAAAAATATTATGTTTTACACTCTTATTTTTTCTTCTCCGTATATTATCCCGAATAGGATTTTTTTTTCAATTCAAGCACATACAATGCTTACATAAAATTGTCAATTCAAGCACATACAATGCTTACATAAAATTGATATTTACTACGTACTATTCTTTTAACCAACACTAGTACACTAGTTTCTAACACACTAGTCATTACCACGTAATCTTATCAAGCATTGAAAAGTTAGATAATAATAATCATTTCATTAATAAAGAGCCAGAAATACAAAGTAAAAGAATTTTTATTTTACATTCAATAAATGAAAAAAGTTTAAAGACGTGAGAATTATTCGATAATCATTTGTTGTTGTTTACGGGCCTTGACTTATATTTTTTATTCAATATTTTTGAAATTGGTATGGAATTAAAAAAATAAAAGTTATATATTTAAAAATTGCATCAAAAGTTTTACAAAATAAGAGGTGTCAAGACTATTTTATTTTACTAAATGAGTAGTGAAAATGGGTAGAGAACGTGATTAATATTTGATCGTATGAATAGCAAACATGCAACTTAAATTAGGACGGAAGAAGTAAAAATTTAAAAACTTATTCAGAATTTAGAGAATTTGCAATGAAACTAAAAATATACTCCCTCCGTTAAACAACTATCTTCTCGTTCACTATTCACATGGTTAAACTTTATGCACTTTGTTGGCCTATTTTTGTTTCTTATTTGATAAAATAATATAATAATGTCACCTCTACTTTTGTAGAATGTTTAATGTAATTTTTAAAAAAAACCTTGCTATTTTTCATGTAAAATGATTTGAAAATAGTTTCAGTCAAACATCGTAAAGCGCAAAGGAAAAATATACTACCTCCGTCCCGTGAAACATGGGACATTTGCTTTTTAGGAGGGATTTAAGGGAGTGTATTTTGGTATTGAATTTCCAAAAATGTCCTTTGATGTGATGGGTAAAAGTATGATTTGATGGGTAGATTATTAGTAAAAAGGTATGATGTGATAGTTAGGGTATGAAAAAATAAGGGGTAAAAGTGACTTTTTAATAAAAATGAGAAGTGTTTTGTGGGACGGATAAAAAAAAAAGGAAATGTTTCACGGGACGGAGGTAGTACAATTGTGTCACGGAGGAGGGAAGATTTCCGGCAGTGGGAAGAAAATTTGCACTAAATTCCGACTTTTTGAACTAAATTCCTCACATGGACGTTTGCATTTTCAAAATGCAAAAATAGCTGAGCTTCGGACAATTGAGTTAGATAACCATCTAAGATTCTGAACAATATAAGTCGATTCTAAAAGTTAGATAACCATCTTTAATTTCAGAGAATAACTGAGTAAATGTAAAATTTGGAGTCATTAATTAATCCCTTAATTAGGAACAACAATAACAATTGATTAATGCTAGAGTCACAAATAACCAGCTCACAAAATTCACAAACTTGCATTTTTAACATTTCCTTAGAAATAAGATGCACTCAAATAATACAAGAAACATTAATTTAAAATCTACAAAAGACAAGTTTGTAAATTTTGTGAACTATTTGTTTGTGACTCTAGCATTTTCCATGACGATTCCCGTTAGCTTTTTGCTAGGGAGTAATTAATACTCCCTCCGTCCCCATTTTAATAACAAATTCGAATGTACGAAGAGATATATCTCATCACTTTTTGAAATAATCTTATTTACAAATCGGTATATCGATCTGAAATAAAAAATTATACGTGTATATTAAAAAATTACGCCAAAAATTCTACTCTCTCCATTCTAAAAAAGAGTTCCTATTTTGACCAAGTGTAAAAATAAGGAAGTGTTAAATTATACGGAGTAGTTGACTTCTAATTTTGCCCTTGATGCGATGAGTAGAAGTAAGATGTGATGGATAGATTGTTACAGAAAAAGTATGATGTGATAGGTAGGGTATGAAAAAGTAATGGTAAAAGTGGTTTTTTAATAAAAAGTGGAAGTGTTTTGTTGGAAGTAAAGAAAATGAAAAAGAAAGTGTTTTTTAGAACGAAGAGAGTACAAAATAAGAGGTGACGAAAATAGTTTTTTTATAAAATAGTTAATGAAATCGTGTAAACAAACACAAATTATTAAGAAGAGAGAAAAAATTGTATTTGAATTAGGGGGAAAAAAACCCAACAAAACTGAAGTGGAAAGCACCATGAAAGGTTTTAGATAGATAGTGGTGCACGTTGACAAACCAAAAGATAAGTAAAAAAAAAGTGTACATTTTCGTGTCCTACGGGCTACGGCTACCAGTACCACCCATTTCTGCTGTTACGGACTCCGTAATCCGTATATATTAAATCTTCCGTACCATTTTTTTTTTGAAATAAATCTTCCGTACCATTTAAAATCCCTACATATCTCCTTCTATCATCATTCCCATTAGACTCCACTCTAAACATGGAAAATCATCATTTTATCATTTTCCATGTCATCACAATTACATAATTGTGCTAAAAAATTAAAAATCTCTCTCTACTTAAGTCATATGTTTATTATTTATATAGTCAAATTTTAACTATATTCTTTATCTATTTTCACTAGTTATTTAATGAAACAATATAATATTGTTCTGTACGGAGTAGAACTTTTGATGTTGCGCTTCCATATTCCTAAGATCTATATGTAAAATTTTGGCGTCCTCATACTTTTCACAAGCTTTTATTGTTAAGGAATGTAGTATGGTTTGTCGTTAACAAGCTCATTTTTGTTGGGCTCGTAATTAGGTCATGGTCTTGTAGCTATTATAAATAGTGGATCTATGTATAATCAAATCATTCAAGTTTAATTCTAATTATATTTCTACATTTATTTTTTTAAAGATCTTAATTCATCCACGATATTTATATATTATGATCCATAAAATGAGTGTGAACTTTAGAATAACAGAAAACTTTACAAGTTTTTGAATATATAATTTTATGTTTTAATTCCATATTCATTTTCAAATAAATTGAAATGATGGTAAAAACATATATCTCGTTTAACAAATTTTAATTAGAGTACTCCTACTTAGAAACAAATTAGGAGTAGTCCGAGCTTGAACTAATTACCCTAAATGTTAATGATAATGTGCATGTTTGGGAATAACGTTAGCGTTTTGAAAAAGGTATCCACACACAGCGTTTAGCATTAGCATTTTCAAAGTAATCTGCACCGTTGAATTTTTATCCAAAACATTAAGCTTTATCTCAAACGCTATTCCAAAACAGGCCCAATAATGTTGTTTTTAAACACTGAAAATTTAGCTTTCAATAGATGCCCAAACTTATATTGAAAATTGTTCCTCATATTTACACGCATGTCTTTATACTACATTTGTCACTCCAAATTTTTAGTGCTCAAAATCCAATAAAATAGTACTCGAGATCCAATAGCTCGATCGAGCTAGCGCTAACAATGCCGCTAAAAGTAAGAGTACAGTTGATTTGACCAAAAAATCACCAAAGGCTAGAGGGAAACAAAGAAACCAATTGATGGCATATTGGCATTAGTGTTTTTCACAATCCCAATGGGAGTCTTAAGTGAGAGGTGATCTCCTAGTTTTAGCAAAAAAATCCACATCTAAAAGGCCACTAATTGCATCACCTGATGACTAACCATAGTTAGTGTTTGGACAAATAGTTATCTAGACAATAAGACAAGAACGGTACGAAAAGAAATCGATGACCTCGGAATTGGCTCTAATAAACAACAGTATTATTACCAGGCAAATAGATAGCAGCTTCATGAGGCTAGGAGAATGTCAATTTCAACTCAAAGTGCATATAGTGTTGAAGAGGAGCAGATTAAGAGTGATGGCAAAATAGAAGTGATGATGTTTAATGGGCTAAAAAATAAAAGTCAGCCAGTTTCCTGATCAAAGTCATCGGCCTCGGACTCTTCTTCACCATTGTTGACATCATCATCATCATCATCATCATCCGCTTCGTTGTCAACATCTTCTTTGTCGTTATCAACTGAATTGCCCTTCCCAATCACAGTTAAGTTGCTGTTAAACTTTCCAATCTCACTGATCTGCAATTTTGTAGTACATGAAATAAATACTCCGTAATATAGAGTGATGAGAATTAATAAAATAAGTGGAGCGTAGGGGCCCGAACAGGCTCTAAACAAAAGGATGATAATGATCTCATTACAAGCAAGTACATCACAGAGAAAAGAGTGTTACTAAACTCGCCCAAAAAAGGAGTCGTCTTTCAAGAGTTCTTTTTGCCTTTTTTTCTGTCTAAAATGTTCATGCTGTGTGCTAACAAGGGTTACAAACAAGTTCAATATCATAAATTTAGCTGTATAAGAAATTTATAAAACATGGATTCCATGACTTTTAAAGCTTGCACCTTGCCAAAACAATAAAGCTGTACTTTGAGTCTTTGACCAAACACGGTATTGTGTTGGACTGAGTATGTTTTAGTGTGATCTATGATTTTGTTTCCATAAATAGATTCTATTTTGAAATTTGAAATTGAGTTCAAGACCAAAAGAAGAGACTCAGCTTACACATATGTACAACTATAATGCTCTGTAATAACTTGAAAGTTAAATAATTGACTTGTGAACAACGGTCAAGACATGAAATGTCTCGCGTCTTTGATCCATGGGATAAATCCAGATATATGTTTAAGAAAAAAATATAATGCCATGCATAAATCACTTCTAGGCTCAAGAAATCAAGTCTATGCTCTATTCATCATCAACATGAGCTCCAGACGCGGTTTTGTTTGACATACAGATGAACTACAAAATTTAGAGTTTCTCTCCACGTGGGAGATGAATAAGTATTGAAATATTACTTTAAAACTTAAAATAATAACATGTGGTTGACACACCTATAATCAAATCCAACACTTCATATCTATTACGAGCTAGTCTTAACAAAAGAAACATGTTTCTATTTGACTAGATAAGTTATACGAAGTATATGATAAAGTGAAACATTTATTTCACAGAACTTTCTTATAAAGATTAGCAAAAAAGTTAAATATGATAAGCTTAACTGAAACAACAAAAATATTATAAAAATTTACGTAGGACTCCATGACTAGGAGTTGCTCCTATCCAAAATTAAAAGTCTGTACCTCGCCAGAAATTAAAAGTTGTAACTCAACCAGGACTGATGCTCCTGTCGAAATTAGAAGTACGCATCCATCCCAGAAATCAAACAAAAAGAAAAGAAAAGAAAACAAATCTCGTTTGATCAGAATACAACCTTTGGAATGGTACAACTTGTAAAAGTCATTGAACTCTCTTTTACTCCATAGATCCTAAAACTGTCAAATAGACTACTACCCCGAATCCTCAATTGATCAACTTAAAAAACGCGCCACTTAACCCTTCAAATATTAAAAAATGAAAAAAACCCACTAATTCCCAGTTTACTAATGACATGTACATCTTAAACTCATGCTAATAAGAATGGATAAAGGGTTTAAGAAAGGGTTCTTATTTGCACCTTGGGCATTTAAGAAAGGGTTCCTATTTGCACAGTCAATTGATTATTGCCTTATTGGCACGGGCGGATCTACGTTTTCATTAGTGGGGGCAACGGCCCCCATTCAAATGATTCTTTTTTGTTTAATATAGTAATATATCTAGTACTTTGGTGAGTATAATAGTATGTTGCCCCCAATGAAAATTAGCAGTGCCCAGCCCACACCAAAATATAGAGCTCTTCAAATATATCCATGGTTGAAAACAAGCAACATAGGTAGACATAGATGAAGAAAGAACTCAAAGAAAATTGAGATACATTGATCCAGAAATTCATAGTTTGAAGAACTTTTTTTTTTACATTGATTCAGATAAATACTACGTATTTCCTTACTTTGGTATTTGGGAATGAACTTTTAACTCAAAATATTTATCTCTCAAAATAAATTTAAACTTTGTATATTTTTAGATTCAACAGTTTTACTCAACATTCAACACTTTATTTAAATCGGAAGAAATATGTTTTTTGTTACACTATGTTTTGGTTCTGGAATTGGGAGGGA